AATCCGGATCGTCAATTCGCCGATCCGGATCGGTTTTTTGGAAGCCCGATCTGGGTCACCGATCCGTTTTTTAAACCATTGATCTAGTCTAATGGGCTTCATTTGAATTTTCAAATAGTACTTTCAGCAACATTCTTAAATGCACTCAGCAGAAATATTGTGGAATTAATCTTTTTCCAAACTTCACTTATGGCTAACAACTGATGTTTCTTTTTAGGAACAATTCCTTGGGAAGGCAAAATTATCTCCAAACTACTTCATTACAAATTATGAGGATATTTTGGTATGCAATATTCCTTCTAAACCTCAATGTGACTGCAGATATAGGCACTTGAGCAAGGCTATCATCATGAACTAGTCCTGATTGGTGTGTCATAGATAGGGCACTCATTTCTTTTTAATGAAATATGTGCAGTTATCGCTTCTATTGTTTAAAGCTAATTGTACAGTTGCACATTTTTTGCAAATGATATTAGTTTTTTAGATATTAATTTTTGCCTGCTGTCTGACCACAGAAGGTTGCAATGGTGGTTGATGAAATGCCTCTAGGTTTGCAAGACAAATACCTTTTTTGCATCAGGTATTTTTCTTTAGTATATTACATGACTACTAATTGGAGTTGAAATGTAAATTTGACAATATGGTAATGCTAAATGTAATAGATGATGTATGTGTAACAACACCTTACATGCTGCCCTTGGTTCTGATTAGATAGTTTGAGGCTGTTTTGCTAACTTTAATTTTCCCATTCCAAGTTTCTCCTAAATGCCAACTGACCATGTAAGAGCTTTGGACCGGTCTGTTGGCTGCAATGGGTCTTGCTATCATGTTCTTTATAAATATCAATGTTCATATGCAAATGGACCTAAACCTGAATTAATTGAGGCAGCTTGCAGGTTCAGGCTTTAATCCAACTATTTAGGCAGGAGAGACCCGTGCCCTTTTCTTCTAATTGTTAATGTTGACAAAATTAGTTTTGGGTCATTTTTAAATGGCCAAGGCAGACTGCATATTGAGTCTGATTTTAGAAATGCTGATGTTCACACTCTTTGCAGCCCAGTTGACATGAATGATGATTTATCAGCACAGGGTCTTACACAGGTAAAGTCTGTATGTTATGGTTTGATTGCTTTCTTAGCGAGCCGACCCCAATTAATTGGGAAAGGCTATGATGGCGATGATTGCTTTCTTAGCACAAGACATTTTATGAATCTGTTTGGGTGAATCAGTTTGCAGAAGGCTATGCCAAGAAAGGCATTGTTCGACTCAAAGAGATTTTCACTCCTGGAACCCTCCTGGTACCAAGAACACAAAATGAGCTCAAGGATCTGGAATCCATACACAAGGTAATTTTCTTTTCAAGTGTTTAGGTGACTTTTTGGCAGTTCTCTTTTTCCTAAAATATTAAGAAAGTAAAAAGGTACTAAACGAAAAAGGTACTAAAAAAATTAAAACTGTTTGAAAAGATTGTGTATTGAACAAATCCATTTGTAAATTCCATTTGATTCTACCCAACAGTCCTAGCGAAGGCTGGAAAGTGTGTTTCAGACCGAATTTGGTAGAAGTTGTCTGAAATCTTAGTTTAAGTTGAAGGGGTTTGGAGTATGTATCATTGAAATCTGAATTTGTGCATAGTGAACAAGCATATCATACACCTGTACTTCCTATTATTTATCTTCAATCTTCTGTTGCCAATGTTGTCCTGGAGGTACTGGAGCTGTACGTGTGGCTGAGTTTTCGTTTGGAGGATAGCTTTCCAGATAGGGAGTTGGCAGTTTCTCAGAAGGCAATGTGCAGCTTGTGAGTAGTTTATCAAGCCCTTGGAGCTAAATTTATTGGGATTGTCTACAAAGAGACCATTTGTCTTTTTTACATATGAAGGTCACAATCATTCCCACACATTAGATATCAAATTGGATGGCTGGTGTTGAGTCACAAAGTTTGAGATTTATTTTTTGGAACTTTGTGTCTACCCAATGACACTCTTACAACCACCCATTTTGAAATATAAGGGATAAAAATAATTGTGACCTCCATGTACAAAAGATAAATGGTCTCTTTGTAGATAAGCCCAAATTTATTTATTTGTTTGGGGCTTTTTCATCAGAATCATGAAACAAAAAATTGTTTCTGTTTGGGTCTTAATACTTGATTGAAGTGATCTAACTTGTAAACAGATCTTGACCTGAATTTGCAGGCATATTTTCTGTGGGGTTTCCTTTTTAAAAATAACCTTTTTTTCATCCTGAATTTGGATCTGAATTTTTTTTCCCAAATTTGGCAGCAATGCTCAATTTTGATCTTCTTTCCCCCTTTTCTCAATAAATATGTGAAAAAGAAATCCAGCCCTGTATCTGGTATTTCACTTGCCTGTCAAAATTCATATTGAGAATTGAAATTTAACACCTGGCTCATCATTTGGAATTTTCTAAGTAGCAAGAGGTGATTATGTTAAGTCTATAGAGCTTTGAATGATAAGCAAGCGTGCTTTTGGTATTACTAGATTGATAGAAGAATTTTTGGAGAGACTGGGATACCAGAGACCTAGATCGAGAAAGCTCCAAAGGAAGTCTGCTCTTCCTCAAATTGATTCACCGTAATTCTAATGTAAATTTTGTCCTCTCGGAGCAATCAGTTCCGTGTAGCCTATACCTGGTTCTAATTTAACTGCAATAATAAACTATCTTTTTTCCATTGGCTGAGTGCTTGGACTTTGCTTTAGACTTCCAAATGTACAAAGTTCATCGTCTGAAATGGGATGAGCGGTCATTGTAAAATACATATGGATATGTCGAATTTCATATATGGACTATTGGGAAATTTAATTTTTATGGAAAAATATGGTAAACTCAGACTCCAGTATTAGCTCAGCCAACATAAAGACCCAATATTTTGTGCATTTACATACGGCCCCCGTAAATTTATGTTTTTACCTCTTTATGTGTGTGTTGCATGTAGCATAACTTAACCTATGTTTCGTAATTTCTTTTAATGAAATATCACTTCTTTGGATTGCATACTTTAAGATGGTTTATATTCAATACACAGATATCTTTAGCTCTCAGATGGATTGTCAGATATAAGGGGCGTTACAAAGCTCAGGAACCAAATAAATACAACACTCCCAAGTGCCTGATTTTACATCTAATGAACAAGGCTGATAGCAGCCTCCTCACCAAAAGGAGTTGGTCTTATTGCATACTTTAAATGGTGTTCATTGTATAAGTTTCTTTTATTTTGGGAGCATTTCAACGAACCCTTCTGAGCCATCAGATGCAGACTTTGATTGCTGGGGTTCATTATCCCTCCTCTCGAAGTATGTCAAAAATTTAGACAGACTTTGTGCCGAGGAATCACACCCCAGCCATCCCCAAGATCCAACAGCTTCAGAGGGTGAAAGCGCTATTGTAAAATTTCCTTCTTAATATTTCTTCCATAAAATCTGCAGATGTACCTCAGCATAAGCCATTCTGAAATCTCTCTCGCTCTCTGATGCCAAAAATTACTAAAATCATCTATGCAGCATCGTTTAATCCCCTACAATAGATTACATGAATGAGAATGTCGCCCATTTGTCTCCCAGTTTCACTTTAGATGGTCACCATATGAAGACATGCAGTCTGAAAGATTAGATACAAGCGTTATAGCATAAATCAGTTTGAATCAGAAGCTAACTTCTTTTTCTCCAGCAATGCAATACACTTCCTCTTGAAGCTTAAGGGGATCAGGGTGCAATATTTTTGTCGTAGATATTACCCTGATATCTCAAGGTTTTTAGCCAACCATTGTGCGCTTCCGGCCTCTTTGTCGCACTGTAACAAAAGCGAGGTGACATTATGTTGTGCTTATGGTCTTCTAAGAAATATTATTAGTTTTATTTCTAATAATGGAAGATGCTACCATCCACTGTAAGTGAAAGTGCACAGTAAGTGAAAGTGCCTGTAAGTGAAAGTGCTACGGTCTTGGCTCAAGGGCTCCCTACTATCCTGTCGAACTTAGACTGTTGGGATAGCATGACAAATATAAATTCCAATTTTGTTTAGAGTTTGGTTTGAGCTGAAAATTTTGAGGGTGTGGTGTCACCCTCACGAGCCTAAAAAATATATAAAAGATAACTTTTAAAAACTGAAATAACCAAAATACCCCTGTGATATTTCAGGGGTTTTATGATTATTTTGTTTTGAAGAATTTTTATATATTTTCAAATGTATGAGGGCACCGTGTACCTTCAATATTTGAGCTCATTCTAATATTTAATAAAAAAGAGTCAAAATTCATATGCTAACACATGCACCCAATTGTCCAATGAAGATTAAGCAGTTGGGAGCCATGAGCGAAGTACTGTAACACTTCATGCATGAGCAATTTTCATCTTTTTCCTTTGATAAATAAATGATGTCTACCAAAAAATACAAAACTTCGTGTTTAGAAAAGAGGAAAAATTATGACAAGAAAGACCTTGAGCAAGCTTGTTGAGGGTCGCACACCATTGCTTTGAGGACTTCCTATATGCAACCAGTATCCGATCCATCTGTTCAAGTTTGATTAAATTGTGAGAAAGTTGAGGTATAAAAATACCAAAGAACCAAGGGATAGAATATTTATCTGAGAGTGAGAGAAAGAGATTACCACATTGCCGCATGAAGAATGCATGGAGATCAGAGCTCTCTCAAGTACGTACAAATCCACGGCTTTATCCTCAGAAAGGGTAGAAGTGAAACTGAGACCGAAGTCAATAAGAACCTGAAAATGAATATGGCGTTTTTTGGTCAATGCAAATGGCGTGAATTTGCTGAAATCATTTAATTAATGAAAAATGAACATCAGTGATGGCATGAGGGGTTACACCACAACGGCGATTATCCAATATCAAAGGATAAACCTCATCCCATGCCTACCATACTCGAAGAGGAAGAAAAACATCGAAACATTCCCTTTATGTGTGTGTGTGTGAGCGCGCGTGTGTGTGTGTGAGAGAGAGAGAGAGAGAGAGAGAGAGAGACCGACCAGATTATTCGTGCTACTTTGAAGCAGCATATTTGAAGTTGTCAAGTCCCCATGAACCAGGCCTCCATCATGTAGCTTTCCTATCGCATTTCCTATCTGTCCAGCAATATCATTTATACGTTCCTCTACCACACCAGTCAATCCAAAGTCTAAAAGAACATCTTTCACAGATGGTCCTTCAATGTACTCAAACGTGAGTGTGTGTAGCAAAGGATCCACAGCATATAGAGCAGGTGTGGCCACACCAAGTCTTCTTGCTTTAGTCATGCAACGGGCCTCCTAAAATTAGAATTATAATTATATATCATCTGCATGCTCAAAAAGAAACCAACATAGTTCGTTTTTATACAGGTAAACTATGAAAAGCTAAAGCTAAAAAAATTTATATCCGGAGCATGAAAAAAAATGACTGATATGTGCTACATTGCTCATCACTCTCTCTCTCTCTCTCTCTCTCTCAAAGGCTCTCCTCCAGGGAGGAGACAATATGATGCTTTATGGTTCCAACCTGTCATGTTGAGAGGGAGAGAGAGAGAGAGAGAGAGAGAGATGGTCTTTTTCAAAAGACGACAAAACGATATTGCTCAAAACATTTGGATTGAGATATACTGTTAAAAGTAAAGACTTAAGTACTTGCTGGCCAGGCTTGAAACCATTTGCAAAACTCACCGCATTCAAACGTTTCAGTGTCAGTTTCGAATCAAGGGTTGGGTGCCTGTACTTCTTGGAGAATCTTTCCTTAATGATGGACCTCCTTCCCATGAAGGTTGACTCAAATACTCTCTGCAAAAGCCAATATTAAATCCACATTAAAGAACCAAACAAAGCAGAACCAAGAATCAAACCTAGTATCACCTCTGTTCTTTCCACTTTAATCCTTTTATTACATCCAAGAAAAAGATAACACAAATTTGAGAAGAGAAAGACACCCTTACAGCTTCTGCTCCCTGCTTCAGAAGCACCCGAAAACCATCTTCCTCTTTTGAATCAATATCCATTTGTATGGCCTTTAACTAGCTGGTCTGCAGATGTATGTACTGGGGATGATCAGAGTTTCATGGGGATTGCATATGCATAAACACTCAATCACTGTAAGGATCATACCAGCATATTTTTCTGTAGGGAGATCAGAGGTAATAAACTCCGAACAGTAGAGGAAATTGTCGAAACTATCTAGTTTTGGTTCCTCACATGAGGGTTTAGTTTGTATTTGGACCACAATGACAATTCGCTGTATTGCTCATGCACCAAACTATGCAAGTTTTAATGTCTATTTGGATAGCGCTATGCATGGTCCTCACATGAATAGCGCTATGCATGGTTCTCAAGATAGGTTTCTCTAACATGTAGCACAAACTCGACCATTCTTTGTCTATTATATTAAGGTAGAAAGTTTGCCTACAAGAGTTCATCAAGCAAATATTCACAAGATTCGCATATTTCATGGGTGAAGAAAGAATAATCTTTATAATTATTTTCTCTGGTTGCCCATTGTATTCCCTTGCAAACCGTGTAAAAATGGAACTAAAAGCCTTTTGTGTCATGCTCAAATTTTCCTTTTTCAATGCCCTAGGTTTCCAACAAAGCAATTCGTTCTAAGTGAAGCGTGTGAAACTTAGTAAGTCAATACGATTTTTGTCCTTTGCATTGACAACAAAAAAGTCAGTACATCCCTAACTACTCATGGTTCTTACTTAGCAGTTAAGTTCTCATTGTATTGCATGAAATGGTGCTAGCATATTCAATGGTCCATTTGATTCTAGATAAATAATAGACAAGAAAAACTAGATGTAGCTTAAAAACAAAAGTTTCACTTCATAAAATAGAAACACAAATTATAAGAAGAAAAAGTGCTACAACATTCAACATGTGAACAAAGTCTAACCAGCCTGAGTATGTGAGCCGATTTGCAGTCTCATATGACGTCCAAGCTGCTTCTGACTCTCTGCACGATTCATCAACTGCTCAATCCTCTCCTTTTCTTTCCTCATATTCATCCTGTCAAGCTCCTCCCTTAGGATTCGAAAAGTATTATACTTTGGAACCAACCCCCTGATAACCATTTCTTCAAAAAACAAGCATGCCCCATCTAACTTACTGGCCCTACAAAGTCCATGCACCAAGAGAGAGAAAGTTCCAAGATCAAGGCTGATATCCTTCCTTATCATATCATGCAATAAATATTCAAGAACCTTCATCCTTCCTTTTTTGCAGAACATTTTCAGCAGAGGTGTATAGGTTCGAATGTCAGGCTTACAAGAGCTTTCTTTCATCTCTCTAAGAACCTCCAGAGCCTCCTCTTCTTGAGAATGCTCGCAAATAACCGAAATCAATGTATTATATGTTGTAAGACTTGGTGTAATTCCATTATTAGGCATCTCCTCAAAAATAGTTCGAGCATCTCGGAGTCGACCTGCTTTCCCCAATATAAAAATCAAAGAATTATAGAACAAAGCATCTGGGGTGCAACCACTTTTCTTCATCCGTTCATAGATTCGTAAAGCCTCTTGGGTCTCTTTTGCCTTCCCAAAAGCATGCATTACAACTGTATAAGTGACCACACTTGGGGGGCACCCCTTCGCTTCCATCTCATTAAGAAGGGCCTCAACATTTTGAAAATCATGCAAAGAACAATAAGCTTCGACTAAACTAGTGTATGAAATTACACAAGGATTGAATCCATATCCCTTCATTTCCCTCATAGTCCACTCAGCCTCTTCCAGGCGCTTAGCTTTACACCATCCATGAATCAGTACATTGAAGGTGTGAGCATTAGGGGGTATCTCCCTCCCAAGCACCAAAAATAGATCTCTAGCACGCTCCACATTACGTTCCTTACAAAGAGTATCCAGAACTACATTCATAGAAGAGGTATCTTTCCTTAAACCTAAACTCTCAATCCCATAGAACACATCTATAGTATCCTTCCATTTACCAGCACCCGATAATCTCCTCATCATCTTACTCACTGTAGATAGAGAAATCAACCCTCCTATTTTCCTCATCTCCTCCACTATATCCCACATCTTATCAAATTGCTTCATTTTCCCAAGAATATCAACCATCATATCATATGTTTCAGTTGAATTCACAAAACCCACTTGCTTACTAGCCCATCTAAAGAAATTCAAAGCTGAAATCCAATCGTCATTATATCTCCGGAGCACTTTGTTCACTAAAGTCTCTGAAACTTTGACACCACAATTGTCTAAGGCCCTCCAAAGATCTTCAGGGGAATCACGCAGATTCTCCAACAATGAACCAATTTTATCAGTATCCTCAGAGGAAGAAACCCGAGAAATAGTTTTATGGTCAAATTTCTCCAAATTATCGATCCAATCAACTTTCTTTACTCCATTCGCTGGAAGCACGAAATCATCATCCATGTAATCAACAAAAGGCTCCACCTTTGGGTTTTTAATCCATTCAGGGAGCTCAGAAGACTCACTAAAGTTGCAGAAACCGCGTAAAGCTCCATTTAAAAGTCCATTAATGGAGTTTGCAGCAGTGAAACAAGTTTCCAAAGTCTCCAAAAAGTAAACGGACCCAAAAACCCAAATACCCCTAGGAACAATATGTCTTGCTAACATGGTGGAGGAAACCCCAGATTCAGAACCAAAAAAATCTCAAGAGATGAAGATACATGCCCCAAAAACAATGGAAAAAACAGAAATCGACAGAAGACCATGCATAGAACACGATTTACGCAGTAAAAATAAGAGAGAGTAAAGAAAATAGATTATCTTCCGTTCTTTTAAATGGAAGCAAACAAATATCTATCAAAAAAAAAGAGAACAATTCGGAAAAATACCTGCTAACGAAACAGCTCCAAGCTCTCTCCGCGGGTGAACTTGTTATATGATCAAACGAATTTACTTGGCTTTATGACCCCTGCACTATTTAAAAATGACAAAGAGATCCCAATATTGCTCTGCCTAACAATTACCAAAATAACCTTATCCCTAACTCAAAGGACCAATTCATAAACGATTATTAGCCCTTAACGGCCATTTTTCATACCTTGCGAAGAGCCCCGTGTTAGGAAAGAAAAGTCTAAATTGCCCATAACTTCTCACTCAAAGACCAGCCTACCATGGTTTCTCGCAAAGCATAATAGGCAATTTGGACTTTCCTTCCCAAGCAAGGGCATTTTGGTCCATCTCAAGTTGTGGGCGTAATAGTCTTTGAATAAAAGGAGAGGGGTAGGCCAGACGTCTTGCTCCTTTCAAATGGCGGAATTTTAACGAGGTAGCACAGGAAACCCTACCTTTGTGCTGGCTATTGAGGTAAGGTCACAAGTGTTTTATCTTTCCCTTGGTGTCCATATTTCTCTTGTTTTCAGTTCTATAATTTCTTGTCATATATTTTTATGACCAGTAGAATTAGGGTTTCATTACCGAGGGATTGATAGGATTTACGGTTGTGGAAAGAGAATGGTATGAGTTCTTTTCTTCTGGGAAATGTGAACCTTAAATCTATTTTAATTAATTTCCATATTTTCTATTGTTTTGAAGTTCTATAATTTCTTGCAACTGTATTCTGATAACTAGTAGAACTAAGGTTTTATTTCGAGGGTTTGATTTGGAATTCGGTTATGGGAAAAAGAGTGGTTTGAGTTTTTTCTTCTGGAAAACGTGAACCTTAAATCTATGGAATTACACTCTTTGATAGCAAAAGTGTAAGGTTATTTTAACTGTTAATGCTTGTGGTTATGTTCATTTTGGTGACATTTTTGTGAACTAGTGTTTCCTGTTTGGGAAACCCTAAACTTTGTGTTGTATATAATCACAGTGAGTTCTCTCTCTCTCTCTCTCTCTCTCTCTCTGTCGTGGG